CCTGATGAACATAGATTCAGAAATCCTCAACAAAATATTAGCAAACCAAATTCAAAAATACATCAAAAGGATTATCCATCATGACCCAGTGGGATTTATTCCAAGGAAGCAAGGACAGTATAATATTCATAAATCAGTATCACACACCACATTAACAAAAAGGATAAAAACCATATGACCATCTCAATAGATGTTGAAAAAGCATTTGACAAAATTCACATCCATTCATGATAAAAACTCAACAAAATGGTTATAGATAGTACGTACCTCAATATAACAGGCCATATGTGGCAAACCCACAACTAACATCATACTGAATGGTGAAAAGCTGAAAGCTTTTTTTCTAAGATTAGGAGCAAGACAAAGATGTCCACTCTCACCACTTTTACTGGAGGACCTAGTGATGGAAAACAGACAAGACAGAGATAAAAGGCATCCAAATTGGTAAAGAAGTTAAAATCACTATTTGTAGATGATAAGATATACATAGAAAACCCTAAAGAAGCTACTAGAGAAACTATTAGAACTAATAACTGGATTCAACAAATTTGCAGGATACAAAATTAATATGGAGAAATCTATTGCATCCCTATATACTAACAATGAACTAGCAGAAAGAGAAATCAGGAAAACAATTCCATTTACAACTGCATCAAAAAGAATAAAATACCTAGGAATAAACCTAACCAAGGAGATGAAACACCTGTACCCTAAAAACTTTATAAGACATTCCTGAGAGAAATTAAAGACACAAATAAATGGTAATCTATCCCGTGCTCATGGATAGGAAGAATCAATATTGTCAAAATGGTCATCCTTTCTAAAGCAATGTAGAGATTCAATGCAATCCCTATCAAAATACCAACAGCATTTTTCAATGAACAGTTCTAAAATCATATGGAACCACAAAGGATCCTGAATAGCCAAAGCAATCCTGAGAAAGAACAACAAAGCCAGGGAAATTATGCTCCCTGACTTCAAGCTCTACTACAAAGCCACAAAAATCAAAACAATTTGGTAGTGGCACAAGAACAGACCCATAGATCAATGGAACAGATAGAGAGTCCAGATATAAACCCATACAGCTATAGTTGATTAATATCTGATAAAGTAGCTATGAATATACAATGGGAAAAAGACAGTCTATTCAGTCTGGATAGCTACATGCAAGAGAATTACTGTCTAACTCCATGCACAAAACTAAATTCAAAATTGATCAAAGACCTGACTGTAAGACATGAAACCATTAAAACTCTTAGAAGAAAACATAGGCAAAATTTCTTGAACATAAGCATGAGGAATTTTTTCCTTGACACATCTCTCCAGGCAAGGGAAACAAAATGAAAAATGAGCAGCGGGGACTACGTCAAACCAGAATCTTCTGTACAGCAAAGAACACCATCAGCAGAACAAAAGGTAACCTACAGTATGGAAGAATATATTTGTAAACAAGTTATCCAATAAGGGGTTAACATCCCAAATATATAAAGAACTCATATGCCTCAACACCAGAAAACCAAATAACCCAATTAAAAAATGGGTGGAGGACCTGAGCAGACATTTCGCCAAAGAAGAAACACAAATGGCCAATAGGCACATGAAAAGATGCTTCACATCATTAATCATCAGGGAAATGCAAATCAAAAACACAATGAGATGTGACCTCACACCAGTCAGAATGGCCCCATATAAAAGATGAGAACAAGTGTTGGCAAGGATATGGAGAAATGGGAACCCTCCTACACAGTTGGTTGGAATGTAAATTTGTGCAGCCACTGTAGAAATCAGTATGGAGGTTTCTCAAAAAACTAAAAATAGAAATACCATTCAACCCAATAATTCCACTTACAGAAATTTGCCCAAAGAAAACAAAATCCCTGACTTGAAAAGATACATGCATTCCTATGTTTATCACTGCATTATTTACAATAGTCAAAATATATAAGCAACCTAAGTGTCCATCAATAGATGAAGAAGATGTGGTACAAGATGCAATGGAATATTATTCAGCCATAAAAAGGAAATTCTGCCATTTGCAACAACATGAGTTCTTCTAGAGGGTATTATACTCAGTGAAATAAGCCAAATAGAGAAAAATACCATATAATTTCACTTATTTGTGGAATATAAAAAGAAAACAAATGAACAAAACAGCAGTAGACTAATAAGACCCTGAGAAGTGACTGGTGGTTACCATGGGGGAGGGGAGGGTTGGTGGGGGAGGGGGAGGGGGATAAAGGGGCACAAAAAATTCTCAGTCATAAGTGGGTCAGAGAGATATCAATACAGCAGGAAAATATAACCAATTATTCTGTAACATCTTCCTATGTTGGTAGATAGTAACTGCACTAGTTGGTGAGGATTTAATAATATGGGTAACTGCTGAACCACTGTGTTGTGTATTTGAAGCCAGTATAACATTGTATATTGATACATCAACTAAAAGAACAGGACAAAGAGGAAAGTCCTCATCTAAAAAGGACCATATGACCAGAAATTATTCTTGAAGTCTGTATTCTCTGCAACATAAAGGGCATCTAGGGAGATGGACTCTACCCCTATTCTTTGAATTATTACTTGAGGCAGAATACTTCCCATTTTACATTTATTCCAATAAATAAAAAAGCACAGGTAATGCTGATACAAAAAAAATTTTAAGATGATTAAAACCCTACCATGCATCTTTTCTGACAATGTATAAAACTAGAAATCACAAGAAAAAATTGGAAAGGAACCAAATGCATGGAGGCTAAACAACATGCTACTAAACAACCAATGGACCAATGAACAAAAGAACAAATCAGAAAATAGAGACAAATGAAAACACAGTGTATCAAATCTGGGACACAACAAAAGCATTTCTAAAAGGGAATTTTATAGCAATAGGGGCCTCAAGAAGAATAATCTCTAATAATCTAACTTTAGAACTAAAAGACCCAGAAAAAGAACAAATCAAGCCCAAAGTTAGCAGGAGAGACATAATAATACAGATCAGAGCAGAAATATAGAGACTAAGTAAACAAAACAATGAAACTAAGAGCTGGTTCTTTAAAAAGATAAACAAAATTGATAAGCCTTTTAGCTAGACTCATCAAGGAAAAAATTCAAAATCAGAAAAGAAGTTAAAACTTATTATTTTTAATAATAAGGGGCACCATAGAAATTCAAAAACATAAGAAAATTCTACCAAAAATTATGTCAAATTGGACAACTTAGAATTGGGTAAATTTTTAGAAACATAGAGTCTTCCACAACTGAATCAAAAGAAATCGAAAATATGCACCAACTTATTACTAGTAAGGAAATTGAAGCAGTAATCAAAAATCTCCCCAAAACAAAATTTTTTCTGAGACCAGAAGGCTTCACAGGTGAATTCTACCAAACATTTAAAGGAAGCTAATAACTCTCCTTAAAACTATTCCAAAAAATAGAAGAGGAACTGTTTTCCAAACTCATTCTATGAGGTCAGCATTATCCAAAACTAAAACCAAAATCATGCAGACACTACCAAAAGAAAAAAAAATCAAAAGACCAATATCCCTGATAAACATAGATGCAAAAATCCTCAACAAAATATTAGCAAACCAAATTTAAAAATACATTAAAAGGAACATTCACTGTGATCAGGTGGAATTTATTCCAGGGATGCAAGCATGGTTCGACATCTGCAAATCAGTGTAATACACTGTATTAGCAATAATAAAAACCATATGATTATCTCGATAGATGTAGAAAAAGCATTTGACAAAATTTAACATCTATTCATTGTAACAACTTTTTTAACAATATGGGCACAGATCAACATAATAGCAGCCATATAGGACAGACCCACAGCCAACATCATACTCAGTGGCAAAAGCTGAAATCTTTCCCTCTGAAATAAAGAATTAGGTAAGGATGCCCTCTCACTACTCTTATTTAACATAGTACTGGATGTCAGCTACAGCAGTCGGAAAAGGGAAACAAAAGGCATCCAAATTGGTAAGGAAGTAGTAAAAGTGTCACTTTGGTGTGCCATGATTCTATATATAGAAAACCATAGATGTAGAAAAACAAAGAAAAACAAAAACCTATTAAATGAGTTCATTGAAGTTGTAGGATACAGAATCAATATACAGAAATCCTCTTTCTATATATTAAAAATGAACTAGGAAAAGAAATTAAAACAATTCCATTTACAGTTGCACCAAGTGTAAAAATACCTAGGAATAAATTTAACCAAGGTGAAAGACCTATACTCTGAAAACTGTTAGAACAGCAATGAAAGAAATTGAAGGCAACACAAATAAATGGAAAGGTATACAATGCTCGTGGATTGAAAGAATATTTTTTAAATGTCCATACTACCTGAAGCAGTCTACAGATTTAGTGTAATCCTTAGCAGAGTACCAGTAGTATTTTTCACAGAACACATCAAGTTTCAGAATGTCAGGAGCAATGGAAGATCTTAAGTTTCCAGATGCAGGGGAATGAGAATCAAACTGGCATCTCTTAACCTGCTTTTCAGTTTCATACTTTGTTAAATAGTCTTAACAGTTACTGTGATTTTTATCCTTTGTGATTTATATTTGATTGGTCAAACATGAACTTTGAGTATCTGATACTAATTACTTCATACCAATGAATCCCTGTATTTTTGGCCATACCTTCAAAATAAGCACAAAAATTTAGCACTATGAGCCCATCTGAATTTTGCAAATTACCCAGAGAAGCAGAGAATATTTTCAAAAAGTTCTTTTACTTAGACTGATACAGAAAGTTATTAGTCAACTGATAGAAAAAAATTGCATTCCCGTAAAGGCAGGATCTGGTTGGAATAAAGCTTAATCTGGATTTTGTAAGGATAGGAATGTGCCAATACTTCCTAAAGTATTGTGCCATTATAGCCAACCAGTTTTGCTTCAGGACTTGGGGTTGTTTTTTACTCTTTTTAGACAAGTTTATAATAAGAAAAATTTACTCATTAAATGCATTTACGTTATATGTAATTTTTTTTTAAGCTCACTGAAAACTGAGGCTAATTTGGAAGTTTTGAAGTCAATACCTAGTGAAAAGATAATGATTGAGACTGGTAAGTTTTTAGAACTTTAATTTTATATTAAACCATTACCAAAAAAAGAGAAAAGGGAACAAGTATTTTAAAACAGCATGCTCAACCTCAGCAATTAAACTCTTCAGAAAACCTTTGGGGGTGTCAATTGATAGAACTATTTATGCAAGCCATTTAATTTTAGAAGTTTGACTAAAGCACTTAAAAAGGGGATGTCAAATATAACTAATGAGTTTGTAGGTATGAATATTCTATTATATAAGGAGTCTTACCTAAGCATTTCAACTCGGGGTTTCAAAAACTACACTGAATGGTCTTTTACACAATATCCTCTTTGTAAATGGCTTAATTCTACAACACTTTTTAATTTAAAAAGTGCAAAAATTTAAATAGGTTTATTCAAAGAATTTAGAAGTCAGTCTGTTGCCTCTTAAAACAACTTTGGAAGCTAAAAATTTTACCTAAACTCTGAACTCAAGGTTCTCCTTATACTGATGTAATGTTTTAGTAAAGTCAAACTGAGCCATTCTGAAATTACATTTCCTTGGGGAGTCATGAAAATGAATGAAATGGTTTTATTAAAAGTACAATGCTTGTACAATGTATAAGCTATTTTAATTCTTTATAAAGAATAGGTAAGTGAATAATCCCAGTATTCCAAGCCCCTTTTTCACATTCAGTAGAGGCATATAGAAGTTTGTTTAAATTTGAATGTTTTCATGTTACAATTGTATTTCTTTTAGTCTAAGGCTCTTTTTTTAAAGCATGCCAAACACAGTAATGTTAGTGGAGGGAAAGGAGATTAGTCTTAAAAAGCATTAAAAGAAATTTGTACAATTCAAGATTTTATCTTGTTTTTCTTAGAACTGTTTTGTTGTTGCTTTTTACCATTTTTTAAAGCTGAATCATGGCTTATATTTGACATTCTATATTTGATAATGTTCTTAAAAAATTTTTTTTAAGGTAAACCTCATTAGAGACTTCTCTTAACTCTAGATGCACCTTGGTGTGGAGTCAAAAGTACACATGCTGGATCAAAATATATAAAAACTTCATTTCCTACCAAAAAGAAGTGGGAAAAAGGGCACTGTTTGAAAGACAGAAATGAACCCTGCCATATAATGTAAGTATTTTGTTTTCATAGTCTTCAAAACATTGAAGTCAGCCACCAAATGCCATTTATAAAATGAACTCAAGGGACAGAATTAAATTTGGGTGAAATCCAAATGAAGTTCAGTTCAAAGACCACCATTTTAATACAGTCATTTGGATAAATTTGCACCTGAATTGCTGTATATCAGCTTATCTTTTCATATTCTGTCAATGCAAAGTGGTCTTATTACATCAGTGGGAACTTCATGTGATTTTGCTCGGTCATTTTGAGAGGGAAAAGATGTTAAAGCTATGGATACGTAGAATTACCTTACCTGGTTTAAATTTTAGTCTCATACAGCTTCCCTACTGATGACTAGCAATAAAAAATGCAGTCTTACCCAGTAGGAGACCTTTTTATTGGTATTGTATTTTAAATGATTTGACAACCAGAATAAATATAAGAAATAACATGTTTCTTTAAGCTTCTGCAGCAAAGGAGAAATTTTATAGAGGATTTACTTTTTCCAACCAAAAAAAAAAAGGCAAACTTTACAGAATTAAAAAATTAATTCAGAATCATTTTTTGATTGTAACATGTAATCACATTTTGAAAAGTCTTAGAGCTGTTACCCATCTAACTGTCAAGTAGGTGTAGAACATACTGTAACTTATAGGAAAACTTTGTTACATCATTTTAATAGGCATATCATCCAATTTCTTTGGTTTGTACAAGCAGGTAATTTAAATCTAGACTATCAATCTAGTATGTTTTACCAATTCAGGCAACTGGACATATTTATAACACATTCATAAAAATTAATATTGAACTGTTACTTTTAGATTGTAATAATTCCTTCCACATGCACCATCTTTTTTTAAAACTAGTTTTTAACAAGTAAAGTATTAGGTAAGCCACATCTAAAATCAGCAGACAAAAAAGTAAAGAATTTTTCTGTAAAAATATATTGAGAAGATTTCGCTTTATGCAAGTGCTGGTGTTGGCAAAGACTTTAAAACTCGATGTTTTAAAACCCATAGGGTGTGGAATATCCTTAAGTTCTGGTTAGTAAAGAACCACTTGTAATTTTTATGAAATAAAAGAGACAATATTTCGGATTAATTCTTAGGAGACATGAAAGGGCACTCCAGACAAAAAACTGGCATTTTTCCAGCAGCTAGCTTAGAGAAAGTATCCAAATCAGTTTTCTGTACTGCCATATTCTTATAAAGTTATAGCTACACATTCGCAAGACAAAATTTTAATTTTGTTTCTGAATGCAAACTATTAAGAACCAAGAAGAAATACCAGTTCTGAGTAGAGTAAAACTTGGGAAAATAATTATTGGCAAACTATACCTTTCATCTAATGATAATTACTAATTAACTAGTTAATTCTTACTTACAAATCATTTTTACTCCATCTGGTCAGTTTTACATTTTAATTATTTGTATACAGATCTTTCCTTTCTTTTAGACTATAAATGGTATGAAACACATTTTGGAGCTCTTGCCATATGTCAGGAAAGGTACGAGTTACCAAAGCTATACAGAAGAATCAAGTCAGGCCCTGCCCTCATCCCTTTACCAGAGGAGTAGGTACATTGTACCAGATATTTCAGATAAAGGATTAAACAAGTCAGACAAGGACCCCTGCCCTCCTGGAATAAGCAGATAAAAAGTATAATCCAAAATGCTAATGCAGTTATAGAGGTATCAACATATGACTAGGACCATAAAACATGGCAACTGCCTGCCTTGAGGGGAGAGAGCTTACCTAAGCTGATAGTTCACCTGTTTACTAAGTATAACCGGTATTTATGCCAGACCAAAACAAATACCTTGAGCAAAGGCAGACTGCAGAAAGACTTGGTGTTGAGTTTAGTGTCACAGAAAGTAGGATGCAAGGGCAACAACGAGTTCAGTGTGACGTAAAGTAGGATGCATTGTAAGAGTGGTAAGTCTGAAGGTACAGTGACGCCAGATTGTGAGTACTTTTGTATGCCAACTTTAGAAGTTTAGATTTTATTAGGACCCAAAGGATTTTAAGCAGAAAAGTGGCAGTTCTTAAAAGCTGTTAACCAGCATCAGTGTGGAGAAGGGACTGGAAAGGAGATAGGTGACAGGAATCATCATATTGATTTCACAAGTATTACGCATGTAACTTCCAATTCCGAGTAGTAAACAGAGGAAGACTTCTGTAGTTCACTAAGAAAACTGGGTCTTTAGTGTCAACTTAAATGTTAATAGATTTGCTTTTAGCATGTTGTGATGGTCAGAGAACACAAATTTAGTCCATTTAGTATAATCATTAAGCAAGGTTTTGTGTTACTATCATTATAGAAAAGTTCCAGTTAATTTCTAATCTGTCCCTAATTTTCCTGTAAGTGTTCATATATAAAACCCATAAAGAAAACAAAAAGCTTAAGACAAGTAGTATTTAGATATTTAATTTTGACTTTAGAACTTTCTAAGTAATGTTTTTAAAATATTCTGTATTTAATATTGCTAGACAGTACTATTGATGATTATTATTCTAGGCAGACAAAGCACAGGAAGAGAAAGTGCCCCCCCACTCTCCCCAATAACCATACGTTGTTCCAAGTAGATAACTTTTTTGCTGTCATTGTGCTAGTGATCATGCAGCAATTTCTTGCTGACTTTTAGGACTAGTTAGTTCTCTAAGCAGTGTTTTTCAAACTGCTGTCCCCATAGTTAAGACCTACACTGTGACTTAGTACACACATACATATATAAATAAAGTGGAAACAAAAATGAAACAGTACTTTCCAAGTGCACTGTACTTTCAATTTTGTAAAACATATCCTGACCCACTAATGAATATATAATGACCTACAGTTTATAAGAACTCTTTATGTCCACTGAGTTTTAATTCCAAAATTGTGGTACACGTAATATGGGCTGCTTTTGTAATTTATTTGAACTTGGTTCTTGGCTCTAGTTATAAGCAAGACTGCCCAGAAATGTGTCTCCGATTACTCCATTTTAAATATCCTAGCAGTTAAACTTTGCTGTTGATAATGCTGAAAACCTAATACTGGCCTGTTAAACTTATTTACTATGTTAAAGGCAGTAATATCTTCCTTTACATGGAAAAAATACAATTAAATGCCTTTAAAACAGAGCATGTACTTGGAAATTTAACTATCCATTTTTGTTTTGTTTTAGTCAAATACTGGAGATAATGTCAGCAGTAAGAGAGGAGGATCCACTGGAATTAGCCAATACGCTATATAACAACACCATTAAATTATTTTTTCCTAACATGTAATTGGTGTGCATCCTCCATTTTCCATCATGTATGTAAAATTTCATGGTAAAACTTGAAGTTTCAATAAAGGGATTCTCTGGAAATTGTCTCAAGAGGTATTATATATCACTGTATATCATCCCCCTCATTTTTAATCCATTAAGTCAGGATTTTCACTTTTATGTTACTTAATGTCTTTGTTTAAAACAATGAAGACCAAGTATTTCCTTTTGTAATCTCTTCAAAAGCCTGAAAGGACAATTTTGTCAGTGCTGCAAACACACAATGGCTAAGAAATATACTTATTTTTACATCAAAATCAAACAGTTAGCACATCTGGTCTTTATCAAAGTTTAGTTGATTTAAGCCTACTTCCTAACTCTTACACAATCTCTGAATCATGGTTTTCGAACCCAGCTCAACCCTAATGCTACTCTCAAATTTCAAAAAAGTGTCTCAGTCACTTCCAAGTAGCCTATTTTCCCCTTAATTTTAAAATACTCTACATACAGCCTTTATCCTGGAGTCCAAATCATTTCCTTGATTGTGGTTTCCTCTGACTTGCACTTGAATTCTTCCACCCATTTTAAAGAAAAACTAGGGTCCAGAGCTACGTGTGTTATGTCTTCATTGAGCAATCTTTGGCACAGCTGACGCACCGTATTATTACATCTATTAAAAAGCTATTTGTTCAAATTTTGTCAAAAAAACATGAAAACATTTTATTCTATGTACAATAATGTACACAAATTTCAATAGGTCACCAAAGAGACCAGAAGTAATTAAAGAGGTATATTTACAGTAGCACATGACAGTAAACAGAAAACCATTCACAGATTCAACATTGATACTGTTTTTGTGCTTGGTTACACATTGGAGTGAAACTTATTACTCCATTTTGGATCAACTGAATTTTAAACAAATACCTCAATAATTAGTAAATGCGATTTTAATCAGTCTCAGTATCATCATTAATAAATTCTTCAGCTGCAGCGTCTGTGTGCTGAATCATTCCATTTCTTTCTCTTTGAGCATCATCATCACAATCTGTACTGTCATCTTCGTTCACTTCCCTGTCAGATTCAGCAGCAGCTTCTCTTCCAGCTTCCTCTGGATTTCCATTGGGTGCAATGAATCCATTGTTGTTAGATATATTTGAATTATCCTTGATCTCATCTTCAATGTATACTTTTTGATGGCACATCGGACAAGTATCTTGAATGTACAGCCATTTCCGAAGGCAAAGTGCATGGAAATAATGATTACATGGTGTGATACGAGCTGATGTTGTAAACTCATGATAGCAGATTGCACACACATCATCTATTTCTCGTAAATGGCTCCCTTTTATTTCAGGAAGTGAATTAATTTTCTTAACAGCCGTCCTACGATTCATGAATGTCTTCCAGCCATTTTTTGCTTGTAAGTAGATGTTAAAGTATGCATGTAGACACATCATACAAGCCCGAATTTTACTCCCTGACTCAAACATCATAGTATAAGCCCCATTTCCAAACATTACTACTCCAAATATAAATTCAATAATATTACCTGTTGAACGAACATAGTAGACATAATCATCAAGCTTTTCCCAGAGGACATTATAGTAACCATCAATCATGAATAACGTATAAACAGTGAGAGAAACAATTACTTTTAAGCAGAGTTCCACACAAAAGGCTGTAACTGCAAACAACCATGTATTTAGTGCATAGTGATGCCAAAGAACATAACTAAGTACAACAGGAAGAATAAACAGGCAAGCAGAGACAAAGAGCACAGGAAAATGTCTACGAAAAGATGACACATGAGAGGCACTGAGAGACATTAATACAGGGTCTGTCATTCCATGGATGAAATGCAGGACTGCAGTTAACAAAAGGCACATGTTTCTACTTAAGCGAATAAGTCTCTCTTCTGGTCTTAACCCACTTAAACCAGTCTGAAGAGCCAAAATAAAAAATAAAACAGGTGCTACAAAGCCAAGCCTTCTGTCATCTTCTTCAGTTGATCCGATAAAGGCCAATATTCCAAGGCCCAAATAATGGGCTACTGAGGAAATGACAGCACTCATGCCCAGGACAGTTAGTGTAGAGTCACATCCACTAATTATAAGATTGCAAGTGAGGTCCCAGAAATCATCCCAAGAAATGAAGAAAGAATCAGTTTCATCTGCCATCCTTAAAATGTATATTAATACTGTAGCCTGAGCTGTAATCCTCGTTAGCCAAAAGACTCTCAGTATATCTGGGAAACGAATCCTCTTCCATGTGTCCTCCATTAATAACTGCAATCCATAAATTCGATACATGTGCCTCACTAAAAGATAAACATATCGTGTAGAATAATAAAACCACTTAAGTTTCACTGCCAAGACAAGCACTGTATTTAATGTAAGAATCAAGGAAGAAGTAAAAACTAAAGTTTCTCGGATGTGTAATGGCAGCTCTGTGATTAAGCCTATTATAGGAACCAAGAGATCCAAAATAATCAATTGTGAATAGATGGAATGAATTTGTAGTAGTGTAATGTATCCAATTCCTAGCGTTAGCTGAAGAACGATGAGTGCCATCCAAAGGGAGGGTCCTTTTCGAGGAAGCAGCTCAATCCCAAAAGCTGATGTGTTGTAGGCACCATAGAAGTCAATGTGCAAAGCAGCATAATAATTTATCAACACTGAAGTTGCAGCTAACAGAAAGGCTGAGCTGTACATGTAAAACTTGAAAAGTGATCGCTGTGACAAGATCAGAACAACACTGGATACAAATATACCTAGAAAAAAGAAAGGAAGGTCATTTGAATGAAACATTTTAAAGAATATTCTTCTGCTAACAGTTACGATAGTTTTCCCTTAAGGAGAAAATACAAATATTTGCAAAGTTATGAACATTAAGCCTAGAGACAATTCAGGCTTAAAGGCCAGTAGCGATTTTGTAAAGCACACAGTTCCACAGGACAGACCAAACATTATTTTTAAAAATCTTATTCCTTGTCTTCTAATTTCCAAAGTGATCCAGGTAGCACTATGTATGTCCGAACACCAAATCACAAAATTATCTTCCAGATGAATTTGTAGTGATACATACATTTTAACAAGTTTTAAAAATCTTGAAAGAACATGTCCTTTATAATGTCATAATCATTAAAAATGTTTTAAGTAATCCCTTTTCAAAAAGTAAATTTAAAATAACCAAAATGGAAATTTGTTCCTGTTAAATCTTAGATTTTTCTTAAAAGTGTTCTTTATGAAATCATGTTAAGTTTTATACTTCCCTGCCTCAGTTTTGTGAACAGCTGGCTCTTTTAATTCCTGCTCCTTAAATTTGACCATTCTCTCAAGGGCACAAAATGCAGTTGTTGTTTTTTTCTCTACATACCTTTCTGTGGATTTCAGAAATGTCCTGAAAGTTCCCTTTTTCCTCAGTCAACCCTTTTTATTCTTTAAATTACAAAAGTAACATTCAGAAAAACAAAATATGTTTAAAAAATGATAATAAGCCCTTCCACACTCCAAATGTAACCAATGTATAGTCTGGCATATATTCAGCACTATCTTTATTTGTGCTCTGACAAACGATTCAAGTGAGATTACAAGAGACATTTATTATCCAAGGTTTCAACATCCAAGTATTCACCTAGTTCCACTTCTACAACTCCAACACCTAAAATTTCTAAAATTTAACTCACCTCAAACAGCTCTTCCTTGCTATTTCCAATTCAGTTAAAAGGTACCATTACTCTCTTAACGGTACCTCTAGCCTTGTACCTTCAAACTCTGACATTAAGGTGTCAATTCTACTAAAACCTATTATGTCCCTTTTCTCAGTGACACCAACATATTAGTTTCTAAAAACTAATTTTCCAAATTCACCTACAAGCTATCACCAAATTGCCTTTCTTCATTTCTTTGCTCAAAATACTGCAGTGGCTCTGAAATTACTATCAGCTAAAACCTACATCCCTTGTCCAAACATTCAAGGATCCAATTTGCTCTAGAGTAATAGTCTTCCCAACACACACACCAATACACCAGACAGCTTTTCCCTAACATATAGCCCTTCTCTGCTGTAATTGCAGCTGTTTACATTTATTCTCTTTGCTTGGCACCACTGCCCCGCTAACTTCCGAGATCCCTGACTGTTCAAATCCTACCCATCTAATGGACCCACTTTCTCTGATTAATGACTGTTCCTTCAGCATACCTACAGAGCCTGGTGAAATGTCTAATTAGCATATGCTACTTGATAATGTAGTTTCTAGTTATCTAAGTTAGGTGTCACAGTACCTGTTATATAATGTGCCCTTGATATCAAGCAAGGATCCTACCACATAAATCTGTGGACCCCAAAGTGTTCTGTAGAAAATAAATACAATTAGTATTCACTGGGGAAATGTTTCTGTTGAATTCTGAATTATATTTTTAAAGGCAACCACAAAATTCCAAGCCCACTTGGAAAATGAAACCTATAAAAAGGTAAGACAGCTGAGAAACCAGAGCCTGGAGTACAGAAAAAGTGACAAACTCCAAATGCAACACCCACCTAGCCACCTTCTTTCAGCATGCAATCAAGGAAGACACTGCATATCACAATGGAGGCATTACACAATCCACTGCATTTAAAAGCAAGTGTTAGTTCCTCTAAATGGTGACTTTGCCCATAGACTTGAAACTTAACGCTGTGCCAACACATCAGGTCATTGTGAAAAGGACAGAAGGACACCATCACCTGGAAGATACATAAACCCCTGCACAAGAACCACCTGATTCTGATCAACCACTAATAACCTCCCAAAGAGTTAACGGTGGGCTTTTTAATAGAAAATGGACTTTTTGAGTAGGATTAGAAACCTTTTCCATGGAAGGTAATAGGAAATGGAATTAACTCAACCACTCTATGCCATATGTAATCTTACTTCCTCTATATAGAAAAATGAAAGTATTTTTCCTGAGTCACTTAAGCGAATCTAAACCAAGTCAAAACAAAACCAAAATAACTGCAGTTTTTTTTTTTTTTTGGTATCATTAATCTACAATTACATGAGCAACATTATGGTTACTACACTCCCCCCATCATCAAGTCCCCAACACATACCCCATTAGTCACTGTCCTTCAGCGTAGTAAGATGCTATAGAATCACTACTTTGCAATTCTGTTTTATATGCCACTTAAAAGGGAGAGTCAAGCAGGGACTGTAAATTATTTTTGTCAACTTGCTACGCACAAAGTGGTAATCTTTACCTGCAAATATTCATGTATTTTGCTGTAATTTATACTAGTCCTTTTTACTCCAATAGCTTTTTTCCTTGAAGCTTATTTTTACACAGTAATGAAGGAATGACTTGGGTTTTAAAAATACTTTTGGAGAAAAAGTGCCATTTTGCTTTAGGCAAATGAACCGAAGGAAAAACAGGGAAGGAAGATATGACAAATAATGTAGTGAGACTACAACCTCAAAGTTTGAATGCATCCCAGCAAGTAACATCCGATACTACTTTTTCATTAAAATTATACCCGCCAAGATGTAATAATGACCAAACATTTCAAAAATAGTGTAAAACTTTTAATTCCTACTCGTAGTCTGCCTGTACATGGGATTCTTAAATTTTTCTTCTGTACTCATGTTCCTACGTATGGAATGTAAGAAGAATCAACTCTCATTTCACAGAAAAAGTCAACTTCCCAACTAACAAGTCTTTAAAGTAACATCCCTCTTTTGGCCTTTAGGGAGTGCTATCAATAATACCAGTTTCCTTGCGTCTTCCCAACCTGAGCCATAATATTCTTGGTATTTACCATGCACACGTAAGAAAATTAAGCCCAGGGATAGAGCTGCTCATGGGGATGGTATGAATAACCCAACATCAGGAATACACATCACACAACAAAGCATTTAACTCTTTTACGTGTAAAGTCCATTCATATACTCAACCTTTCTACAAATTTATGACTAAAAGTTAGAAGGAAATAAGACCCAACACCCACATCTCTCCAGGTACCTTAAATACCTTTCAAACATAATCTGAAGCTGTGGAAAAACATTTCAGGCCTGACAGAATAAAGATGCAACAGCAAAGAAATATTATGACTCCCTTACTCCCAAAGGAGCCCTAGGCAAATAAAAAAATTGGACAAAGTATCTAGAAATGTTAACCTGTTGGTGTACTTATTAAATATAGCACAAAATTTTTCTACTGTACTCCATTTTCAATAAGATAAAAACCAAAATTTTGCTTGTAAATAAAAATTTTTAAGGAAATTTTTATTAAAAAGAAATACATGTGACTTTTTTAAAAGTCAAACCCAAATGAAAAGCAGTTTTGCATAATTAAACACATTTATGCATAAATACACTCTTTTTTGCTTACCCAAAGAGGATCTCAATTATAATAATGGGTTTTTTGCTACCTTTTAAAAAAAATTGTGTTTGTTACTTATCAAGGGGGGATCTTCCAATCTATTGACCATTCATGTTTCTTCCTATGTTAATTGCCAGTTTATCTTTTGCCTATTTGTCTACAGAGTTGTTTTCCTTATTGAATTGTAGACATTTAAAAAATATTCTGACAAATTCTTTGTCAGTTAGTTATAATCAAGTATCCTCTCCAGGTGTGTGGCTGGTGTTTTCACTTTTTTAATGCTGCCTTTTGAGTAACAGAGGTTTTTAACTTAAATATCACTGAATTTTATTAATATTTCATAATATTTTTAAATAGATTTTTAAAGAACTTTTCCCTCTAAGGTTAAAAAAAATGTATTATCCTACATTTTCTTCTAAAAATTCTTAAGTTCTACTTTCCACCTTGGACTGTTTTTATTAATCCACTTGGACTGTTTATATCTTGACGTGTGGTAAGGATCCAGTGTAATTTTTTCCATATGAATAACTAAAAGACTTGTCTATATTTACCTCAGTGTACTTCAATTCTACCCCTGAAACACATTAAGTTTCTTTATATACTTTTTCTATATATGGGTGGTTTTTTTCTTTCCTTCTTTCCATATACAAGTGGTCTGTTTCTGGGCTTTCTATTCTATGCTAGTGGTCTATGTGTCCATCTCAGAGGTTCTCAACCAGGATAGAATTTTGCCATTACCCCCTGCCCCCAGCCCCCCAGGTCATTTGACAAAATCTAGAGACATTTTTGGCAGTCAGAACTTGAGGGGAAGGAGGGTGCTACTGGTATCTAATGGAGACCGGGATGCTGCTAAAAATCCTACAATTCACACAACAGCATCCCCACCCCCACCCCACAGAACTAGCCAGTCCAAAGTGTCAATCGTGCTGCTGTTGACAATCCTTAATCTAATGCAGTCACAATTACTACTGCTTTACTTCTTTTTTTTCACTTCACAGGTTTTCTGAGTTTTCTACAGCACCAAAAATAATTATTTCATTCTTTTCAACAACTTTATTATAAGGCCAAACCTAATACAATTAATAGATTGCCTTTTCATAGGCATTTAGATTAACAATTTGTTGTTCTGTTGTTAGTAACAATGCCACAATGAATATTCTTGTCCACAGTCTGTACACAACTGTATCTTTGGGCCAAATTCTTAGAACTCGAAGTGTGAGCCAAAAGGTGTATTGTGAATTTCAGTTGTTAACACCAAATGACTTTACATAGAAGTGACAGTCTACCAAAATTGTATAACTTTACCTATTTCCCGATAACTTTGTGAAACTACCTTTTATTCAATCTTTGAACTCTTCACCAATCTGATAAGTGAAATTTTGTTTTGATTGCATTTCTTTAATTATAAAGCTAAGTAGTTTTTCTTTTGCTTACCAACTTTATGCATTTCATTTATTGTGAACTCCATATCCTGGGCTCATTTTTCTCTGAGAGCTTAAGTTTTTCTTATTAACTGACTAAAACTTTTACTAGAATGAATCATATGATGCAAATATTTTCCCCTCAGTCTGTCATTTTTAAGGATTTTTTAAAAATGAGTTTTGTCAAAGTTTTCCATTTGTATGTACTCAAATTTATCAAATTTTCCCTTGTGATTTCTGGGTTTTCTTTTATGTTTAGAAAGGCCTTTCCATTCAATAAATTATCATTATATGAGTAGTACTATAAAACTCCTTTGCTTGCATTTTCTGCCTTGGATTTAGACTTGCTAATTCAGCATTACGCTGCACTGGGTAGCATTTAATTTAGCATTTAACACCCCATATGAACAGCTTAATCTTCTTAAATATTCTATATGTTGTGATATGATTTTATTTGAATTTCCAAAATGATATGCTTTTATATCCTTAGTTTGATACCAAATTAAAGTACAGTTACAACACTTTTTTGTAGAGGGAGGACAGTAAATTCTTCAGAGACTACATATGAAATTGATAGGCTTTTTACTTAGGGAATAGATTTCTATTTATAATTCCATTTTAAACAAAAAGATGAGATTGACAAGTTTTGAGATTTATATACAATAGTACTGAGAGATCTACAATTATAAACTAACCAGGCAGAGCAATTAATTTCAACTATCTTCTGGATATCTTTTACACACAAACCTGTCACTTTCAATAACAACCTAAGATGCCTCATTGAATAGACCCGAGCAGAACTGAATTCGTTGGATTGCTTCGTCTGTGCATCTGTGCATTGCTTCTGCTGCTGTGATTTCTAAACCTATGCTATTATTCAACTGAACTTTTTTTTTTGTATTTTGACCCACCTTTTTTTGAAATACCAGTAAACAAAGTTCTTGAAATAAAACATTTTAAAAAGCTGTTTTTGGGGAAAAAAAACTGAATAAGCCTCAAATATTTAAGATATTTGTTTTATTCAGGGTGAACTTTTTAGCACCAAAACAAATTTTTTAAAATTACTTCATTTTTACAGATGTGAAAGATTAACATAACTACACTGGCATAATGTAAGGAACAATCAGTTAATAGATGTGGAAAATATTTTGATTTCTCATAAAGTCTGACCCAGAAAAGATTCTGAGATCAAAATTTTCAAATAAACAGCACCAATGTTTTGCTGATGCCTTCAAAAGATCGAAATATCTGTAACAGTGTGGTCTTAACTGAAATATTAAAATATTTTTTGAAAAAGCTATCAAACTTATTAATAACTAACACCTAAAAAGCCCTTATTAGTTCCTAAGTCCTGTTCTAAGAGCTTAACATCCTAACTTGTTTATTGTCCCCAGCACCCTATGAGAGAGATACCATTATCATCCACCTTTAAAAAGATAAAAATAAGAGAAGAGAGGCCCAGAGCTGTTAAGTAACTCGCCTGAGATCAAATTCTTCTTTAACTTGTCAAATAAAAACTTCTGTGATTTACTACAAAAATAAGCATGGATAGAATATAAGGAAATACCAGCTTACTTTGTTCAATGTTCTTAAATTACAAATTATTAATAAAAGAAAATGTTCCTTTTCCTTAAAGCTCCCTAGCCTAACACTCAACTCTGAGAACACTGCATTAAAGCATCTGGTCCCAAGAGGATTCTGCAGCTACATGCCAAAGTAACATCACCGCAGCAGGTACACTATTTGGGGAATGAATACAGTAATCTTCTCAAACCCATCTCAATGTTTTTTGTTTTTTGTGCTCTTCCACCATGGCCTCTTCTCAAAGCAGAAGTGGGGAAAGCTGCCCCTCCCACCCTCAATTCCATGTTACAATTGGTTATTTAGTTTCCAAAGCAGCACTTGGTTATCCCAAATTTGATAAGAGTTCCCTCAAAGTCTGCTACTTTTGCTCTTTGTCTAGAAAGGTCTCTTTTACCCTGTAAGGTTGAGGAATAGAAATGATCAGTTTTCTTCATTTCTCAGTCTCTCTAACCTAGGAATCGGCACAGATCTTGTCTGAATGTGTGTCATCAACTAATGTGGGTTAGGATTGTAGGGCAGAGGGCTGGCAGTGTATCACGCTCAGCTGGGGCCACCTTTCTATAATGAGACAAATAACCACCTGTTAATATATAACATGATGAGTGACTTCTAACTGGCAGGAAAAAGAAATGCCCTCCCAATAAGTCCCCATTGTTAATAATTTGTTTAATATTCAGAAGACTATCAGAATTAAACAAATATGGAAGAATGAAACACAAAACTAGCTAATATTTTTAAAAATTGAGGTGTAACTGATATAACACTATATTAGTTTGTGTACAACGTAAAAATCCAGTATTTGCACACATTACTATTTGTATACATTTTGAAATCACACAGCTCCATTTTTATCACAAATAATGAGGGCATTGTAAGTAGGAAGTACTGGGATTAAGAAGCTGGTGGGTTATACAGAGCAGTCTTACGCTAGTGAACATCATGTTCACATCTGTTAGTTTTTAAGATCCAGCTATGATCATTACTATACCATTCTGTATCTGGATCGCAGCTGTACTGAAGTGAATCACCCTTGATGTCAGAAGATTTTTAAGCCTAGGGTCTGGCAACCACTCGCTTGTTTTCAAAGCAAAACACTTAACTTCTAAGACCCTCAATTTCCTCATTGTAAAATGAGAATACCACCAACCACCTCTGAGGGATGCTGGAAGGTTAGGTTAGATAATACTGGTAAAAATGCTTTGCAGAAGTGAAGTATCAAACAAATGTAAAATGTCATTTACTGAAAATAACAACCTCAACATTACTACTCTCTTTTGGTAGGAATAAAGCAGCAACAGATGGCTAATACAGAAAAGCCTGGTAAGGATCTCACCATCACCCTCCCTCAGCAACTGTTCAAAAACAGAAGCCTACTAAAAATTTGTAACAATTACCTCATCAACAAAATTTACCAAGTTTCGATTACTAAAAAAAAATTATTTTACACATAAATGCTTCTCACTCTGCTGATGCAAGTGAAGATAGAGGGTGAAATATAAGATGTTCTTAACACTACATTCATATTCAACAAAGACACTGATTTTCAGAAGTCTCTTGGAAAAGTCCCATCACTTTCTAGCCGTTTTCATAACCATTTTCAATACCTTCTTCTCTACTCACGGAAAATTTTAGGACTCGTAAGTAGCGCCTTCTTCATGAAGATTTTTGGTAATGGTTTCAAGGTCTGACATTCGAGACCCTGTCTCTTTCGTTTGGATGTCATTTACCGCAGACATTTCAAAATCATGTGTACCCCGTGGATACAGAAGTCACAATACAAACACTCTCCATCTTGGAAAAGGGGGAAACTGAGGCCCAGAGCTTGGCACGGTAAGTCCAAGGTCACACACACGGTAGAGATCCGGGCAGAGTTGCTTTTTCCAATACTGTCGCATAGGACGCACCAGCACTCAGTCCCCAAGAGAAACAGCGGGCAAAAGAGCCGCATGCTCACACATCCATGCTTTCTCCCCGCCCTCACTCAGGTGCAAAAATGAACATGGGGCTGACTCGTTGCAAGGGAACGCTCCGCTGTCAACTATGGAGACAAGTGTCATCTCTTCCCCCCTCCCAGCCTGCAAAGTCGTCCCTGTGGGGGAGGAAACTGGTTCCCAAACACGCACACACATGACCCACAGCTGCGCGCGGCTGCCCGCTCCCTGAAGCACGTCTCGGCCCGCGGGCTGCCTTGTCCCCCTTACCAAAGAGCCGGAGTAAGATCTGGAGCCCGATGCAGAGCCGGCTTTGGCTGGAATCGTAATAGGAGTTGAAGATGGCGTCGATGATGTAGAGGCAGGGCACCCGGAGCGCTACTTCGAGCGCCGCCCAGACTTGCTGCTGGGCCATCCGCACCTGCTGCTGCGGGGGCCCTACCGCCGCCATGAGCCGCCGCCACACCAGGGCTGGGCGAGCCGGGCAGGGCCGCGCGGGGCAGGGCCCGGGACCGCGGCAGGGGGCGGGAGTTTAGGCGGGCGACTCCGCCCCCGCCCTCCCACCTCTCCAGTCTCTCAAGACCCGCCCCGCCGCCAGCTCGCGTCTCTCGAGCTGGAGCAGGCGGCGGCGGCTCCCGGGAGGCCACTGGGTGTCGGTGTTTCCGGCAGGCTACGGCCTGGCTCCTACCTCCCCCGCCTTCGCCGCCGCGGAACCACCATCTTGACCTCGTCTGCCCGCCTCAGCAGTTGCCGCTGTTTCGAGGTCGGGAGGCTGCGTCCGCGCCTGTTTCCGTCATAAGCCAGGGCCAGGGACGCGTGCCATACCGTCATCACGCACGGCGTAGCGAAGGACTCAAAACGTTACCATGGTTGCGACCCGGGCCACCTTCGCGGCTTTGGCGCCACCCTGTGGCGCAGGCGCTCTTCGGTAGCCGTGGCCACCCGACCCCGAGAGGCCTCCTGCTCCGCCTCGGCGTCTGCTCCTTGAGGAACTCCGTGCTCCGCCGGCGGGAATTTAATAGCTACTTACTAGCGCCCACGAAACGTCCCATAAACATGGTTCAGAGGTGCTTGGGAGGAGGAAAGCCAAAGGCTGCCGCCGGCCGACTTACTCCACCCCACCTGGAGGCCGGGTCCGAGAGAAGCCCGACCGTCCAGAGGTCCTGCTGGAAGCGGCGCGGCGTGCGTTTCAGGCAGCGGTCGCCCCGCGTGGCCTTGGCCTGCTGGAGGCGCTGGCGAGAACAGCGACCCTCGCATCTCTGCACGTCCCTCTTCCTACCTCCCACCTAATTGGACAGAACTGGGGACACTCATAGGCCACATTTGACAAAGTCAAGGGCCACTGTGATTTAAGGGCAATAACCGAGGCCTCTTTTTCGTCTCTGAGGTAAGCACACCCTTCTTTGCTCTTCAGGGCGGAGGCCATACTTACAGGGGATCAGGATATGCCACTCCAAAACATACCTCTTTTACGTAAGGATTATTTTGAACTGAAGAAAAGTAGTAAACAGAAGAAGCAAAAAAAAAGTTTTCTGCCCCGTCCCCCGTGATGTTTGCCTAAAAAGCAGGGCACAAATTTCCATTTGTAAAGGTGCCTCTTTTGTCTTTGCAAAGATGAGGACATTTACTCACCCACAAACCTTATACTATCCCTATCTTCCCGGAGTTTGCCGCCTCTGACAGTCTGACCTCCGTGTTGATTCTCTACAGACTTACTGCTCTTTTGTTAAGATGCTATACAAGCCCCAAGTGTAGACTCCCCTTTGGATCATTCATCACTGAGCTTCTCCCACTTGTATGTGCACCTCAAGAGTTAATAAACTTTTTGTCCTGTTAATCTCAAGATCTTGTCGGTTTAGTTTGTAGAGCCCCAACCACAGGACATAGGACAGTGAAGGAAAAGGTTTTTTACCTCCCCCACACTTTTCTACCTATCCATGTAATTAATATAATCTGGACATCCTCATCCTCCTTTCACCAGCAAATTAAATAGGTTAGAGTCTGCATTGTAGAACCAGCCATTTTAGGTGAAGGGAAATAAAATAGAAGTCTGGCTCACTTGGGCTTCTAGCCGAAACTGCACTCTGCAATCCTGTCTATTTCAGGACTCTATATGGGCGATTATCCTCTTATCAATCAACTCTCCGGAGGATTATAGAACTCCTCCAAGACCCCATTCTCTGGGTGGAGGTATGTGTGATAGGGTGATTGAACCCACACCCAAACTCCTTACTCCAGTCTCATGTTTTTAACCTTCTATTGTTATCCCCTGGTGTAGGGCAGGGACCTGGGACAGGCATCATGTTAACTTTTCCTGCCTATGATGAAAAAAGCCAAGATATAAACAGTACAGTAAGAACAGGAGGGATTCCATTTTAAGGCTAATATTCCATTTTAAAAACCAGGAAGTTAGAAGATAAGATTCCTAACATATTCTTTGGTAAAAAGACAGTAACTCAGCCCACCTTAAAAGCAAAGGCCAACAGTTTTGACTGATACCTTCCCAGAGGGAACCAGGTATCCTAGAGAGGAACTAATCAATTTCTTGTGTTAATTTGCAGAATTACCTGGAGGAGGGATAATAGAGGAGAGGAAACATAATTTCTCTCACCAGAGATAAGCATCTTGAGACCACTTTACAAGTCTATACCCCTGTCCCTTTGTCACATTCCTGAAAATCCTTAAAAGACAGAATCCCCAGCCTTTTAGTGCGCCTTCTCTCTAGGTTGCCCGCACTCCCCTTTAAGTGAATACTTTTAAATAAAGCTTTCTCACTGTTCAACTTACTGTGTTTTGTCTTTGTGCTCTTCCAGTGGTAAGCATCTTTGTCTCTTTGCTATTTCATTCTATTTCCAAATCCTAACTCTTTTTCCACGTTACTCCTGTTAAGTAAGGAGGGGTTGCTGAGAGCTCTGATTTGGGTCTGCAAGTTCCTGTCACCTGGATGACCCAGACAGAACTGCAGCTGCATGATCTCTTTTAGTAGCCTGCCTGAAAATCTTTCTTTGGGAAGTTCTCAGAACATAAATCCGTGCTCCATGGTTCCCCTGAATCCTGGGGTGGTAGTTGCTAGTCCCACGCCATGCAGATCCAAGAGGACACAGATGCCAAGGTGACTCTGGCGTTAGGAGTTGGGGAGGGAGACTTCCCTATGCCTAGTAGGAGTTCAGAGAGCTTTCCACTCCCTCCCTCTTCACTTACTGCTCTCATTGCAGGCAGCTGTCATTTCCTACTATTCTCACTTTAATGAATTCCTTCCATACTTACACTCGCCCAATCTACTCAAGAACTTTTTCTTATTCAAAGTCAGAAACTCTCCCCTGTCCAAGTTGAGGTTTCACGTGGTGCACAGGGAGAGACCTCCCAGATGCAGCTGCCCAGCAACACCCCCACAAATGACTGCCATCTGTCTAGTGCTTACTGTGTACTAGGCATTGTGCTAATGGTTTTACATTTTACAAATCTTTTTGCCTCAGCCTTATCTTGGTAGGTATTCTTACCTGTTTTAGAGAGGAGGAAACTGAGGCTTAGGTAAATTATCAGATCACAAAGTAAGTATGCAAATAGTTAAGTGGCTAGCACGGCCACAGTAAGTCAAACCTAGGATTTGAAACCAGGGCAACCTGAAGCTTAGAATTTTAGGCATCTCTAATTCCTTACTCTTTTTACCTACAGCCAGCCATAATCAAATCATATCCATTTTTTAATTCACATGTTCTCATACCAGTCTCCTTTCTACTGTCACTGTCAGTAGGCTAATGCAAGATTCTGTTGTAGCTTGCCTGATTTTTTGCAGTATCCTCATTATGACTGCCACTTTTTCTAACCCAGTCTGTTTACTTCTGCCACATTAATTTTTGTGAACTGAACCTCTGGGGAATAACCTTGTGGTTTTGACAAAATTCCCAAAGGAAAGCAAACTTGGTAAGATGAGAGGACTATGAAGATTCATGTAGAGAACCTCAGAGATGTAAGCTACTCAACCCATCTGTTATTCTGCCCCATTTGCAATTTAAAGCAAAAAGAAGCTGTTGTGGAGAAAAAGGTCCACAAAAACTAATCTAAAACGAGTGTGGCAGAAAAGACAAGAAGTGAGTATCAATGTATTGTGATCAGGCAAAATGGAGAATAAAATAGTTCATGGGCTTTCCTCTAATTTTTATTTAAAAAATTAAATATAGTAAATATTAAGAAGCTTTTTAAAATGCTTCAGCCCTTGTTTACAAATGTTTATGTTTTTAGAAATGTTTCAACAGCCTCTAATCTTAATGTGATGCACAGATTTTATTACTATAATAATGCTGATTCACACTAAATTCTATCTTGGGCCAAAAACTTCCAGGAGTGGCACCATATTTTCCTCTTACATATGACTTCAAAGAAGTCTCTAGGTCTCATTTTCCCCATTTCTAAAATAAAGGTTTCAATAAGATCCCAGCAAGTACTTAAAAATACCACCTCAAACTAAATTGTATTAATGAAGTCGTTTTTAGAATACTTAGGGATTTTTCAGAAAAAAGGTAAGCTTTCAAAAAATTTTTCCCCATGTTAGGAATGCACTGTCTGCTTCTAAAGCCCTAGCATCTCTCAAGTCTGTATTCTAAATTCAGTTTCATAGTGTCTGAGCTTCTCCAGTTGCCTACGTACATTCCATGGGTCTAATCACCTGCAAATAAAGATGAAGTGATGCCCTTCCTCTACCACCAAAAAAACATATCCTTTACTACCAAAAAGTTAATGACTTCCATACCACTGACTAGATGCTATGGTTAGAACAGATGAACAATGGAGAAAATCTCAGAATAGTTTCTTTACAAAAGGAACTTACTGGCTATGTTTACTTAGCTTTGTCATAAGTTTTTATCAGTTTCATTCAGGAAGTGTCTGTATTAGTCATCTTCCCAACAAAAACTAAATTCCTAATAAGTATAATACATCCATAGACCCCATCACATTTTAAAAAGAAAACTTTCAAAGAAACAGCTGCAACTCATTGATTCTAATCTTTGCTTAGTTTCTACATTGATTTGAATGCGCACAACTCAGATATACCTTTATAGAGTTCACCCAGAACAGTGTGGGGGATGTGTATGTGTATGTTCATACAGACACACGAACTTTACAAATTACATTCAAAAATAACAATCTGTTCATTTGGCTTTAATGGTTGAAAAGCCTTCTTAGCAGCTCTAAAAAGCCTTTAGATTTGGATGTGTAAAAACTAGTTTGAATTTCCTGTTGACTTTTCCATCAGCCAAGTCTTTGTTACAAGCAACAGAAACTGATTCTGGGCTATCTTAGGCAAAAACGGAATTTATTAGAGGGTAATTTTCATTATTCTTCAAAGTTTCAAGTTTCAAGATTTTAAGAGTGACCATTTAATTGGTTGGACTTACTGGACCATGTATCTATGCTCTAGCTGTACAGAGTGCAGGTACAAGCACTTCCTTAGTGGGACGAAATAATAGGAAACAAGTACTTAGAATTACCCACCCCACTCCTGGCCACCAATGTATTACATATTTCCTTCAAATGAAAGATAGGGATACTAGCAGGAAGGGTAGGGACTGATAGCCCAAAAAGGGATTTATACATACTATAACTATCTCAGATCTTGGGAATTACTTAAAAAATAATTTCTGATCCTCAATTACTTTATAGTTTTTCTATTCTCATTAAAGTAAACTTCAGATATGCCCATCAAAACTCACTTATTTGAATTTGCTGGTTTTGCAAATGCCAAATGAATAGGAGGTGTCTGTTGTTTAGTTAACAAACAACAGAGAATATAGTGTCATTGGAAGTCAGTGTTGAGTATATACTGACTGACTTGGTTCATTAACTCATTCAACAGACAACCAAATAACTTTCTATATGCTTGCCCACTTCTGCCTCTTACTAGTTCTGTCTCTAGAACCTAATCTTCAGTCTCCTCATTTGGGAAAAAAGGCTAATATTTCCAGGTAAGATTAAATACATAACATACATTATCCACTTTAATCCTCAACAAACTTGTCCAAGGACACAAGTGGCAGAAACAGGTTTCTAACTCATGTTTTTCTGACTCCAGAGCCTAAGATCCGAACCTCTGCAAGTAATTTCTTATGCTTGCTACACAACTTAAAACAATATATTTTAAGTACTTAATATGGTGTAAACAAATTTTAGAAATACTCATTAGATCCTTATGATACTATGTAACAACACTGCAATGGCTTCACTTATGGCTCAGGAATACTGTGAATATACTTTAGTTTGTTATATGTGATAATCATTCATAGTACTTATATTAGAATATAATAAATAAGTTCAAAGATGTTAACCATCTAGGGTGATGGTCAAGAATAATTTGAGGGCTAAAATACTGCTGTGAGGAAGAGTGCAAGTAATACAAAGTTAAAACCATCTGTTAAGGCAGGGAGCCCAGATATGGATATAGTATCCCACTGAGAAATGGGAAGGACAGGACCCTTTACCCTACATGGAATCCAGGCTTCTGATAATGGCTTCTCATTTCAGAGCTGCACACAACTGAACAGAATAAAAGCTTCCAGACGTTACATTCATTATTGTAAAGATGTCAGTTTTACTCTATAGGCTCAATGTAATCCCAGTAAAAAAAAATCTCAGCAGGTTCTTTTTCCCAAAAATTGACAAGCTGATTTTAAATTCGTTAAAAAATGTGAAAGATAAAAATAACTAAGGCAATCTTAAAGAACAAAGTTGGAGGATTTTACAGTATATCAGGACCTAATTTAAAGCTATAATAATTTAGACAAGATGGTATTGGTACATGGATAGAAAAGCGACCCATGGGACAAAAGAGAAAGTATAGAAACAGCCCCAGATAGAGTGGGTGCAGTGGGAAAAGGATGATTTTTAAAAATGCAGTATCATATGAGTCTATAGATACCACCTAACAAAGGACAGCAAATGAACCAAAGGACTTAATGGTGAAACACACTGGAAGCATTCTCTTTACACTTATGAACAATTTAACTTTGTTTAAAAGGTAGAGGGTGGGAATAGGGCAAGATAGAATGCTAGATGCTTCCCTTTCTAAGCAAGACTCAGCTGTTATTCTTGAATAAATGATTGGATTGTAGCAGTCCTTGGACTGTTGCAAGCATTAGTTACATTCTAGAGTTGTGAAAAAGCTGATTTTGACAATTTTTGCCTGTGTTCTCATTGCTTTTATGGAGGTGCCCGTTTTCAGGGGTCCTTATTCTAACATTCTGTAAGTCACCTATTTTACTTCTGATATTGGGTAGGAAAGTATCCAATGATGCCCTAGTAGATGGGAGTGACTGTGAAATATATTCCTTCCTGCCCTCAGTGTGTGACAATAGACCTACTTCTCCCTGATGACCAGATTTGAATACCCCAGCCAGGAGAGTGATCCTTCCTTGCACAAGAAGCCTAAAGCAATTGTGAAAAGTCAGTAGGTTAGAGTCTAAAGGCTCTATTATTGTATCTCCTGATAAGAGAGTTCCTTGTTAGGAACCAGCCCTCTAGACTCACAAAGTTGTGCAAATGGAAAACACAATTCCCCACACGGTAAATGCAGATAGTAAGTGGGATATATTAATATCCTATTGCTACTACAACAAATTACCACAAACTTAGTGGTTTAAAGCAACACAAATTTATTCTCATATGGTTCTGGAGGACAGAAGCCTAAAATCAAGATGTCAGCAAGGCTGTGTTCCTCTCAAAGGCTTCTGGGGCGAATCCATTCCCTTGTCCTTTTCAGGTTTAGAGGCTGCCTGCATTCTTTGG